GATTCTCTCACAGTCTACAGAAATACAGAAAAGCTGTGATGGTATTGGGGATGCTGGCTGATTTTCCCTTGTTTGTTAATGGACATAAATGATTGGCTGATATCACTTCAATGGATTTTGCTACTGCAAAAGGATTTTAATATGGCTTGGGATTTAACAGTACGTGACATTCCTCCCTGACCACCATGAGGGTAGACCCTTTTGATGCATCATCCTTACCTGGAGCACTAGTATATCACACCTACTGATTTTTCAAATGATTTTTTTAAAATTTGGGATGTGACAGCTTTTATTTAAAGAAAGGGGGCTTGGTTTAAAAATAGAAAAATTGCTGGTTAAAAATAAATTAGCTGAGACTGGCAGCCCCCCCCCCCATTCAAATCTCACTGACCTATCAGCCCAGTTATGATCACTCTAGCATAGGGGTTTCCTCTTCCCACCCACCCCCCTACCCCAGGTTTTATCAGGAGTTTTTTTTTTCCACTAGATAACTCTCTGCCTTGTCATGTTTGAATCCTGGAAAATTCTTTTTAGAAGTTAGGCCTGTGTTTCCTTTTCTTATCTCAGGGCAAGCAATGTGCAGATTAGAGATCTAAAGAAAGTCCTCCATTAATGATTAGAGTTGTGAGAACAGCAAGGAATTTAAAGAAGATAAATTCAGCCAACGTTGTCCAAATTCTGCCAACTTGGGGCCATATCCTCTTTAGCCATGGGGAATGGGATTCTACTGTCTTTGAGGGACCTGGCTCCCCAGGCTGGACATCATCTCATTTAGCACTAAGAGGCATGCACATCTGCTAGGAGGGAAGCTTGAGGGCAGAAGCAATGGCAAGGGAGGGCACACTGCTGAGCGGGACGCCTGAATGCATTTTAACTCATCCCATTCAGCAGCTTCATCTCCTTTGCCATTTTTGCTGTCCTCAAGCTTCTCTCCCAGCACACACCCCACCTTGCAAAGAAACAATACCCCAGAGGTTTCTGAGCAATAGCAAAGGCCTATCCAGGTATCTACAAATGGGCAGCACCTCCTGCTGCAAAATTCCGCACAAGGCACTGTTTCCGAATTGATGAGAACCCCGCCCACATGTTATTATAGTTGCATAATTCCACCACTTCAAAGGCAATGCAGCACAAGTTGCCTTGCAGCACATGAGGCATGGCTTCTCACCCAGCACTACATGAGAAAATGCCCAAGAGTATATTGTCAGTTTCACAGAAGCTCCTGAACCTCACTCTCATGGTTCCATGGGGGGGGGGGAATCCCAGGAGGCAGGGCTCTAGTCGGGGGGGAGCTCTCAGGTACGGAGCTCCGGAAGAGAACCTCTAGGGGGCGGGGCAGTCACGTGGTGAAGCCCCGCCCCCTTCTTTACCCCGCCCTCTGCTTCGATCCTCATTCCGTTTGGGAATGAGGATGAAGCAGGAGGGTAAGTAGCCGGGCCTTCTGACACACTTCCGGTGATGTCAGGGGGGTGTGGCCTTCTGTCACTTCCGGTGATGTCAGGGGGCGTGGCATATGCAAATAAGTTATGCTAATGAGTTATGCTAATGAGCTCCGGCAGCTCTTTTTCTACAACAAGACCCCTGCCAGGAGGGATGCTTGAAGGAGCCAGCAGTGAAACCAAAGAGTGTGGTGCTGATCAGACAGAGGTCAGCATACTCAAGAGCTTCCTTCCTTCCTGGTATCTCTCTCCAATGAAGAGGGGTGGTGGTCACAAAATATAAGGCACAGCTGGACAACCTGATGAGCAACCTTCACAAATGCTATTGTTGTTTTGGATGCCAGTTCACTTTAAAGATCATTTTAAGTTACTAATAACCCTCCAATAATCACCATGCCATACACACAGTGGGTATTTTTCAAGCTCACTCAAGGGTGACAGTGATCACCAAGGATGATTGCAGGCTATTAAGGTTGGAGAATATTGTGAACTGTTTAGTCAAGGCATTCATAATTAATCTTTCCATTTCATATGCCATTCATACTGCCTGCAGAAACATCATAAAACTAGCCTTTTTTACATAAGGTACTTATTTTAGAAAAGTGTTCTGCACTTAAACATAAGCATTCTTATTCAGCTCATGCAATTCTGATGCTATTAATTCATAGGCACTAAAGTACACATACGCATTTGGACTTGGTTACAGAATTTTCTATAGTAATGAGGTGGAGGAAATAGCTAGTTTTCACCCATTTCTTTCATTTCTTTGAAGCCCCACTTGGAAATGTGGCAGCCCCACCTTCCAGAGCTAGAGGGAGGTGCAGAGAAACAGTCTGGTATGAATTTGCAGTTTAAAATAATGGAGACTGCAGTCTTGTGGGTGATGCCAGAGGTGCTTTCTGGGGCTCTGACACAGCACCAATGGATTTCTCGCCTGTTGACAGAGTACCTACTTGTTTCCAATAAGCCTTTGCTTGTATATTGGTAAATAAAGCAGCTATTACAAAGATACCATAAGATTCCTGGCAGTCTTGTCCAAAGGAAACTTAACCATAGAAAATATTGGTATGCTTGGTATATTACGGACATTTCTTTGCTCTCAGATTTTGCATTTCCAAGCATTTCTTCCTTCTCCTCCTGCCATTTTTCATCCACAGGTGATTTACAAGTTTCCTTAGAGCTCATACATAAGATCATGCTCTTTCATAAATGTTGAACCACAGTAACAACCTACCTCAACCCCTTGTTTATAATCTCTCACAAAGTCACTAACATGAGCATGTATTTGACCATAGGCATCTACCTTATAACAAGTCAGACCAGGATCTCAGGCACAGAAAGGTCTTTCCCAGCACCTACTTTAATGGGGGATGCTGGGAACTGAACCTGCACAGAAAATTAGATACTCTACCACTAGGGTTGCCAGATCCCCCCCCTGGCCACCTGCGGGGGTGTGTGTAGGGCTGCAAGCTCCAGGTTGGGAAACTCCTGGAGATTTGGGAGTGGAGCCTAGTGGGATACAATGCCATAGAGCCCACTCGCCAAAGCATCCATATTCTCTAGGGAACTGATCTCTGTAGTTTGGAGATGACCTGTAATTCTGGGGGGATCCCCAGGTCCCACCTGGAGGCTGGCATCCCTATCTGCCACTGAATTACAGCCTTCCATGAGCCCCATCCAAAATGAATATGAGTAAGGCAAAATTAGCATTTTTAGACCACTATTATTTTATTGTAACTATCACAGGCTTGTTAATGTTCAATAAAAGGTGATTAATCTGCATAAAATGATCCTCATGCACCCTTAGAATAGACTGCTTTCCTTACCTTTCCCAGAAGCCTGGCAAAATGACAGACAATCAGATGCTTGGTAGAATGTTTAATTATTCATGTCACTTAGAATTTGCAGCCTTGCTGCTACAGCACATTGCAAGAAAGGATTTCAGTGCTGAAGTGTCGTAAGTAGAAGCTCTTATTAAAAGGCAAACCAGAAAAAAGAAGGGATAACATTTTTGCAGGCACCACTGGAATCAGCATCTCACCAAGAAGAGCCTTGAAAAATTCAACTGCATGTCCGCAGTGAGTAGATACTTTTCCAGAAAGACCTGCAGATGCAAAGCTTTCGTTAACTGGTACCAACCTTTTATGGGGAAATAACATTCTTCCCAACGCAAAATAAGAATATTGTTGGAAAGATGACAAACATTATGTGTCCTTTCAAAACCACTTGGTGCAACAAAGAGAGGATGCAGCCTTTTTAATTTGCACCAGCCAGACAAGTGTGGAGAGAATCCTGCTGGATTTGTTTTAAAGAAACCTATTAGTGTTTAGTCATGCCAGCCACATGACCACGGAAACGTCTTTGGACAGCGCTGGCTCTTCGGCTTTGAAACGGAGATGAGCACCGCAACCCTAGAGTCGGATTCGACTGGCTTTCAAGCAAGGGAACCTTTACCTTTACTTACTAGTGAGGAAGAGTTGATACAAAAAAGAAAGGTATGAAGCAAGGTCCAGAATGGTAACTGGT